TGGTGATACCGGAAATAATTTTTTTTTTTTGATAAACCGTGGGAGTTCCAAACTTTTGTCTCATAATATTTTCGGTACCTGGAGGCAGTCTTTGGAAATTCTGATTTAAAGAATTACCCTCCGTATCAAAGGGGATTTGAACCCGGGGCACAAGGAAACCAACCCCCTTGTGTTACCATTAGGACATCACATCTTTGGTGATACCGAATATAATTGCAAAGCTAAAGCAAGATTAATGCCATTATCTCGAAATCTTATAAATTAGAATTATTCTAAAACATAAGAGCGGTAACAAACAAATAAAAAGTTAATGTAGACTACTATTTGTGGGTGAGTTATAAAAATGTATCCTCTATATATTAATAGAAGAGACACTAGATGAAACTCTTAAGGAAAGCTATTAAAAAATTCTTGATGACATTAATTTATTATGCAAATAATTAGAAGAATCCAATTATATTTTAGTATAATTACCCACCTAATTTATATCATATATACAATATATAGTTTTAATATTTTTATGCAAAGTTGATCAAAGTATATGACGCAAAATATGTTTGATCAAAATTTAATTTTATTACATTTATGTACAATACATATCATTTGGTACGTTTATAAATATTATAATACACGTTTAAGTATTAAGATTGATTAGAAAACATATTTAAGTATTTAATCTTACGCTTGGCGTATGTCAAAATCTAGTTATATATATATATATAACAAATTCAAAAAAATTTAGTCCCAGCTGTGAATGTTCTAAATCTCGATATAAAACCGAAATATTATTCACACCAAACAGTTGTCATTTATTTTAATTTTTGAGATTGTGGAAAAAGTGAAAACCGAATGTATAAGCCAATAAGCCATGACTCATTTACCAAACATGTCACTGTTAGTTTACAAAGCATGTGTTCCACTATCATTTGGTTTTTCTGACTTATTCGTTTTCCTTACTAATTTTACGACTATATATACAATTTTTCTTGTTCTTACTTTTTTCCCGTTTTGTCGTATGATAATAAATGTTTGATGCAACTTGCAAAAATATTTAGTAACTTGTTAGGTGGGGTTTCAACTTTTTGAATTACTGATTATCGTTTAAATATTTCTTAACCTTTATTATTAATCTTAACATTCATAACCAAAAAAAACAAAAGTTAGCCATGTGATACAAATAAATTTTGTTTTTGGAATCAAACTAGGGCGATTTTGTCATTTGTTAAAAGAATGAATAAGCCAAGTTGAATGATAATGGTACACTAATCACTTCTTAGTTGCTTATAAGATCAAGGGTTTTCTTCAGCCATGGTCATTATTAGTGTTTCGTTATAAACCTTCAATTTTTTTTTAAAAGAAGCATTTTAAAAATATATGTATACAGTATACTTTAGTGGATTAAACTATATTTTTACCCTAAGTAGATATAAACTTAAAATATCTGCATAAATATAAGATTATTTGATAACTTTATTGTAAACATAAGATCCATGAGACATTGTGAAAGAGAGTTACTAGAAAGCATATATGTGGTAGAAACAACAACCACGACGATAACAAACGAAGGAGTCTCTAACCATAAATAGATTTTTTCCCCTCTTTATTATTCTATCAAAGCAAAGATAGAAAGCTTAAGCTTCATCAATTGGCTTGACATAAACACCAATTTGGTTAAGGCTATTTGAAGAAGCCTTGCCATAGAACCCAACAATCTTGTGACCTTCCTCCTCCAACTTGCGATATATAATCTCTATTATGTACCACCAAAGAGCTCTCATCTATTTTACATTTTGAGATTGTGAACTAGTAAAATTAGAATGCCACTTTTCAAAAATGCATTTTTTAAAAAAATCTTGAGAAATTTCAAAAAATACCACTTTTCAAATACCACTTTACAAAAATGTCACATTTTTGAAATCTTCACAAAAATGCCACTTTTTAAAAATTTTTTTTTATATTATTTATGTTTGGATTAATTATGTTCTATTAGGGTTTAGTTTTGAGTGTTTAGGGAGTTTTAGGTGTCAAAACATTTTTTAGGGTTTAGAATTTTAAGATATAAGCTTTATAAATCTATAATTAGTGGTATTTTTGTAAATGAACACCCCTAAGTGGTATTCTTGTAAATGTGCACACAAAAAGTGGCATTTTTGTAATTGCCCCAAAAATCTTTGCAAAAATATCACTTTTTCAAAATTATTTTTCATTATATCATTTATGTTTGGGTTAACAATGTTGTATTAGAGTTTAGTTTTGAACGTTTAAGAGGTTTTAAAGGTAAAATTTTTTTTTAGGATTTATAGTTTTAAGATTTAGGGTTTAAAAATCCATAATTAGTAGCATTTTTGCAAATGGGCACCCCTAAGTGTGTTGGGGTCGGATTTCACCCGCTCAACGTTGAAGTCCAAAGTTATGCAAGCGCAGCGCATAGACACGAAATCGCAGTAACGTACAAATGTTATATGATTCTCCCAAGTAATTTTCTAACTAGAAGATGGAGTCTTTCTCATTTCTTAAGTCTTCTCCGTCCAAGAAGGGAGCATTCTGAGTCCTCTCTACTCGTAGCAGAAGTCAGGAGTGCAGAATCGGCGCCGTGCTAGCAAGGTCACACTGCCAGCGATGTCACACTGC